AATCTTCGGCAAGTTTGGCGAGAGAAAGGGCCGCACGCTTCGGAGGACGTCGTTAAACTTCTTGAAATTGGAATGCAAACAAACCCATTATCGTAAAGTCAAAAGGGGAAGACAGCAGTTTATTTAAAAGCCGCGGCGCATGCATAGTGCCACCCCCTACCCCCACCCCTCAACGTGTTCCACGTGCCGCCGAACGAGCGGGTTCCGTCGATGCCCGCCGCACGAAAAGTATGAAAAGTAATTAAATCCACGTCTGGTATCTGCAAATATCGCACTAACGTCGAAGGAATTCGAGTATTTCGTTGGGGAAAGAAACATGAGCATACTTTCGCGACAACTCTCATAATCCTTTTATTTACTTGAGATATTATCTTTAACCGCAATCAGAGATAAGTACTGATGTCATTAATAATCTTACATAAAACTTGTTTGGTGCTTTGAATGCGCCCCGAGTAGTTTATTATGAATATAAAATAAGAATTTAGAAATTGAATGTTTTTAATGGATACTAAGAAGCTGACTTTATTGCTATTTTATTTCATTCTTGCTTGTTTTTTTCTTTAATTTAGTTCGACCTTAGAAACAAATACGAACTATATTAGGAATATAGTTCGTATTTGTTTCTAAGCTATTTAAATCGCTATCTACGCCGGTTCGCTGCTTAAGGTACCTGCAAGTTTAATTTGACTTTTAACATGCTGACAAAACAAGGTAGATATAACTTCCGCTGTGTTGCGCGAAACATCAGTGTTTGTCGGCTGACATACTGCTATCAACACTTCGCTGTCGTGCGGCTATTTCGTGACAGAAAGCTGATATCGTGCTACCGGCTTTCGGTGCCCGGCATAAATAACTCCGAGCGATTCTTAAAGGGCTCACTTACGAATGGGTCCATTATTAAGAGAGTTATATCCGTGCGCAATGAGTCTTTGAGAAAAGATACGCGGGGAATTAGAAGCGATATACGCGAGGTGTGTAGGTGTGTGGCAGCAATTACGACACTAAACTGGTTGCGCCAGTTAAAGACTCTCTATTGGATAGTATAAGTTGCGAAATCCTATTTCGGGTAGAAAGTGGAAGCGTCTTCGTTCCTACCTGTGGGAAAATGATTCGTTGCATATTCTATTATCCTTAATAGCGACGTTCTCGATCTACGCCCATTGTGAATTCTACTTGGCCGCATGTGCTTGCGTCAGAATTACGGGCTTCTCGGTGTAATTTCGTAGAAAGGCGCATCGATCCATGAGGAGGTACGGTGATTTATGTTGCGAAACTGGCGTAGGAATCTTATGCTTTTGTATGTGTCATAAAGTAATAATAATAATCATATAATATACATCGTTGTAAATGCTCGAAATTGGAAATAGCCGTCGAAATTGTAACACGAAAATCATACATTAGGGCGCGCATTACCGAGCGAATGTGCGAGAGAAATCAATTTATCAAATCACGAAAAGAAACAACATAATCAATTTATTCTCCATCACGCCTGGCACGCGTGATGCCACACGATATCTCTCTCGGCAGAATTGGTCGGGTCCCGATCTGTATCGCTTTTCTGATATGGCCGAGCATCGAGGAAGCAATCTTCCACCCCACGCGATCCGCTAACGAATCAGGAGTAGCAATAGCGCAGCAGAATTATATCTCCATCTGCGTTTCGATTCGCACCGACAATCGGGTATCTAAGTAGGTTAATAAACGAGCCTCGTCGATGCTGCCGGATTCCCATAGAACCAATCGGCGGCTCATCACGCAACGTCTAGCGTGCCACGCAATGAATCGCACGCATCTCTAAATCTTCCCAGGATTACTCAAAGCTGAGTCAGAGACACGAGTTTAAGGAACTGCTGTTCCAAACCCGGTGGAGATTAACGATCTTTCTCTAGAGAATTTTTAATTTCATTTATATAAATTTCTGAATATTTATATCCCAAAATAAAATTTTTCTTTCGCATCGATTTATCAATTTATTCATTTATTCAATAACAACGAATAATTTTTTTCAAGGCCATAATCCAAGTTCTTCAGAACCATTGTTATATTGAGAAATCAATGGTAACTTCCGGCCACTTTGATGAAAACGCACGGAAGATAAGTATCTTCCCCATGGCCAGGAGACTAACCGAATTCTCTAAATCCAGAACGGAGAGCACGCTGCTCGATTCCCACGAAATAATAGAAAATAAATATCTGCCCGATGATTAGTACTCTTCGTGCTAGTTGCGGACGTCTTCGTGACACCCCTCCTTGCCGCTTCGCGGTTCGATGCACCTGGAAAGAAAAGCCGCACACATGTAAGCGAGACGGAGGGAACCCGAAGAATAATACATCAAAATGTTCCACACGCGCGATTCGATTTGCAACGGTTTCCACGGCTAATGGAATGCTAGAAATACCCATCGACACTTCTGCTCTATACATGATTTTTATGTGTTACTACAAAAACAATGATGTTTTAAATAGAATTTTCGTGGCATCGCGTTGGAATCAATAAAACGCAATAATAATTCTGAATTAATAAACTTTTACGACCTATTTTCATCCTATCACGCCTATCCGATTTTCTCTATGTAAAATGTAAAAGAAGTTAAACAACTTATATCTAGAAAATAAGAAGGGCGTGATTTTATTCCTGTAATTATATCGCTCCTTTGTTATACCGCTAATGTACGTACTGCCGTGACATATGAGCGTACTCTTATGTAGCGCGAAATGACATATTGAAATATTAGAACCGCAACGGACCGGCGAATATCTGGGCGAGTCATCGCTCATCGGCGTAGTTTCTTTTCGGATAGACGCGGTCGAAAAGAGAATCGACCAGCTGTAGAAGAAAAATTATCACCTACAGGTTTTCGCAGAGGGGCCGCGCGCAGAGGGGCAGGTGCGGCAATTAAAAGGCTCACCGCCGTCATTTGTTTCCGCGGTGATCTCGACGGCGTATCTTGCGCGAGCTGCTTTTATAGTCATAGTTTCCTGAGTAGGGGTGAACCAAGTTCCACCCGTCTGCTTGAAGAAAGTGGAGCTAACCGAAGGCGAAGCGCGCAAGGGCCGTTATTGTTCATGCCTGGACGCGCGCGTTGCGCGCGTTATAATGTATAATTCAGACGACTAGAACGACCCGCGTCTTACATTTCGTTGAGTAACGATCTGATAGCATTCATGATATCGATAATATCGTTTCTTATAAATCCCGTGGGAGTTATATATTTTCGTCCCCGCTAACTCGCGCTTTGCTGAAAGAATGGATCGTTATTAAGATAGTTATCAAGGAAATTCCCTGACACGGTCCATTATTCTTATCTAGACGTAATGGTGGGAACTGATATTGTAAGTATATTCGGCTGTGGCAAAGGGCAAGGTGTGAATTAGGTAATATGCGACTAAATATGTAACGATGTAAATATAATTAATAAATATATCAGCACCACACCGCGCACGCACACGCACAAATACTGTACTGCTACGATTCTCGCGAGAGAAGTGATAGACACTTAATTAAGAATAACTTTTAGCCTTGAAATCTCTTGTAAATATATAATTTGGTAGATTCATTAGCTATTATTCGCTAAATCGCTACGAATATTTCCGTATCAATTTCTAGCATTCGCTACTGTCTTTAAGATTAAATATAAACGCCGTGGTACAAAGCGGAAATGAAAGAAATGGCATGAAGAACAATAAATGGCTGTGTCAGGGATTGCTACGTATGTGCCAAACCAGGATGAACGAGCTGAATGTTACGTAGGCGGGGTCGAGGTTCGAGAGGGTAACAGGTGGTCGTGCAGGAAACATAGGCTATATAAGAGCAGATACTGGCAAGTGGTTAGCATAACAATTGCACCAGCTACTGTGTTATACGAGAATTCGAATGATTTATGTACGGACATGCGTTTCGCGTTCGCATGCATCTCGAACGTTGCACGCGGAAAAATTGCGAAGATTTTCGATGTCGGTTCCGCCGATATTGAAAAAAATTATAGATATATATTATATTATGGACTTCAAAGCAATGATGCTCTTTAAAGAGATAGAAAAGTTCGATCTATCGTATGAGCTTATCTGATCGTGTAATTATTTAAATATGCATAACACGTAGTCAAACTAAGACCTTGTTAAAAAAAATTCTTAATTATTACTTACTTATTACCGTGAAAATAATCGATAATTTCAAAATTACAATTTTTTTATCTCTATTTTTGTAAAAACAAGTTTGAATAATATAAAATAATGCATAAAGTGTTTCTTAAGTATTAAAATTTTTAACTTAAAATTATTTACAGTTTATTCAAATAAATATTAAGTCTTTCTTTATATACAACTTGGTTTTTGATAAAAATTGATGCGTTTTTATTTTATTTCTTTCTTTGAAAGGATAATTTTATTAGAGATCCTTATCATTTTATTATAAGAAAAATATTTATTTTTTTAGAATTTACTTAACTTTTTATATTCTTAAAGCAACTATTGAGAGATTTTTGTGGCAAACGATTTGAACTGATCTTTACTGCTAAACTATATCTTTCAGTTTGTCATGATTCATTCGGTAAAACATTTATTTTAATAGGAATTTTTCACTACGGTGATCGAATAACTAGAAGTACCGTAACATGACTTGACTGTTAGACAGATTTAATTTATATATCAATATTTACATGTTAGCAGATCGACGTGTCGACCTTTGCCGAACGTTTCTCCACAGCTGGCATGACACATTTAGTAACACACACTCTGTGATACGATATGGAAGTAATGGCATCGTGACACGGTTATAATTGATTGTGACGATATTATAGTAAATTAAGCAATAAGAAGGGCAATAGTAATAAAATTTATTGTGGTCAGCGATCAGTAAGAATAAAAGGTCACTTGTTCATTGTTCATAAAATACGTAATGTATATAAAGATGAATGCTACCGTCAAATGGGCTTTGGAGTACACCGAATTGAACCGTTATTTCACTCGAGAAGAACTTGTGAGATGTAATGTGTGTGGAGAGGTGAACATTTTACTAGCACATCTGATATCTGCACATCGACCGATAATAGAAAAATTGCGAAACGAAATTAAACATACAGAGTTATCACGATATTTCGCATTCGACGTAGGATGTGTTAACACAAGATGCATTAGGTGCGACGAAGAAATCAGTATTTTTGCTGGAATGAAAAATTTAGAAGACCATTTGCTCCTCCATCATAAAATAGGTAAATAAGTTTTTAAAAACTTATATATATATATATATATATACACAAAGACATAATGTAGATAATAATGATACAAACAATTTAAAGATTTCCAATTTAAAGCTATCCAAGAGGCAACATTAAAATTGAACCACTGGACTAACTGACATTCGCAAGCTTGAAAAAAATCGAGAACAGTGGTAAATATTAATATTTTATTTCTCTTGAATTACATACATTTGGATATATAATGACACAAGGATTAAATATTTAGCATTTGATTATTATATAGTTTATAATATTTAATTGCTTAATATATTAGATATTTGGCATACGTGTTTTATAAATGTATAAATGTTTAATAACGTTATTTGATCAACTGTATATTAATATTAAACAATTCAAATTTGCTGTCATTTATCTGTTATCTGAATATTCAACGATTAGTAAAAAGTCTTATATATTCGATATATTGGTGAAACATTCTCAGATTCAAATAGTATTAGATCGGGGAGAAAATAATCCGTGTTTTTTTTGTTATTAATTTTTGTCAAAATAAAATGTTTGAAGGATTATCTTTAATTAAAATAATTGCCATTTGAATTTATGATTTCCTGACATCTTTTGAACAAAATTTGGATTCCGTGACGAAATAAAAGATCGGCTCTTGTTCGAAAAACATCCAGTATTAAAACAATTAAAGATCATCTTGTAACGCCAGACCCATATTCTCCGCGATCTAATAATATTTACACCTGGATATTCGATTTTTCAGATATTTGAATAACAAGAATCTGAATTTTCGTCTAATAATATATGTGAATAAAGTATAATTTTATAATGTTAATTATACTATAATTGTACTATATATTGCATTTTTCTCTTTTTTAATAAATTATATATTCATATAGATTTAATCAAGAAGAAGAACAACAGGGACAGCGAGAATATTGATTTCAGATTGATAGCATCAGATTTCGAAAGCATCAATGTGTTTAGCAGTCATGACTCCGATATCTCAAATGGACCGAAATAAATAAGCATGACGAGTAATTATTCGCTTTGCATTTTTACTGTAAAGCGATTTTATGAATTACGTAACTTTTCTACAATTATATAATCTACAAGCATTTATTAACCATTTTGTTAATTATTTTCTAATTAACTCAGTACAAATATTTAAATTTTTTATGTTGATATACATATTCTTTTATCTATCTCGTGTAACATTAGGTACATTGTAATTACAAAAATATCCGGATAATATGGTATTTAAATTATTCAATATAATTTATTATCCAATATAATTAAAATTCACAATCAAATTTAGGAATTTGAATTATATGGATAATCCATACATTATTATTCCAAGAACAGAATCTAAGACTTTGTTAATTCATATTCAAACTATTCAGTATAAAAACATGAAATCGTAAAATACGATATTATAAATTTATACAAATAAAAAAAGGAATTTTATCAGTGAATAAATGATGAATATATCAGATATCAGATAATTAAAATTGTGAGAATAGGTTTACTGTCGTAAATCTCTACGTATCATTCAATTAATGTAAAATTAATCATTATCAGTCGAGACAATATTTAAATATATTTAATTATATATATTATACATTCAATTATATCTATAATTATATAATCGTTGTTAGACTTAATTCATGTTATATTATTAATATATATTTTGTCATATATATATATAATTATTACGTATAATTAATTACAATTAAACATATTTAATTATTACGAAATTAATTAAAATTATTAATAAATGTATACTTTAGATATTATTATATTGCGTGTTCTAAAATTGATGTATGTTAAATGAATCGTAATTTAAGTAATTCTAATTAAAAAGACTTTAGACAGTAAAAAGGCATTTCTAATAAGGAATTTGATTAGACGCACTAAGGCGCACTCAGTGCACATTATGTTGTACACAAATCACAAAGATGTGTATATTTAATATAAATATAGATATGGGTAAATCGCGAAATTTCTAATAGTACTTTATTGTATTATTTAGTAAAATATGTATTGAGCATTTTATTATTCGAGATGTTTCACTTTTACATTGAAATTAAAACAGTGTACAATGACATTAATGTGTATTGAGTGCGTACTAGTGTGTCCAATCGAATTCGCTTTAAATAAAATGATGGTTTGTTTATTCTAAATTTTTTTATTTTGCATCTGTCTTGATCTGTCAACTTGATTATTTTTGTTAAACGGGGGAATAAATTTTTTCTAACCTAAACATTTTGTGGATTATTAGAAATCTCAATATTTGTCTATTCCTATATACATTTTCAATTGTGCTTTCATCTCTCATAGTTTTGAAAAATTCATGTATTGTAAACACAAGTATGATATTTTTGTTATAGGTAATTTAATTAACACTTAAATTTACATAAATTTGCAGTATTAAACGTAAAATGTTTTAAAATTAACGTTAATTTATACACTCAATTAAATTAAAATTAATATTAAAATATATGATTCCATATCATGGTAATTAATAATAATTGTAATACTCTATAACAACTATGACATATAAATTATAAATGTGCAAAATGAATATATGTAATGCAAATTATGCTAGCGATCATTACTGCAGAATTATCGTAAGTATCATTAAATGTTTTAATACTATCTCTCCTATTGTGACATCATTATCTTCGCACACTACGATAATTTTCCTCATATAATAAAGTGTTATGTCTTATATCACACGTACATTCCTAATCGTAGTACTTACTACATAAAAAAAATCTAAACTTTTAAAATTTTACGAGAAAAGTAACAATTTGATTGCCAAAAGCAGTCGCAAGTACGCATGCGAAAAATGCCAAACGGATGACTTGATGCGAGTCAGTCGAAAATTACAGATCATTATCGATCCGCCATAAAGATGAAGTCCGTTCCCTCATGAACAGTTCTTTATAATATACGCCCTTGATGTCATCACGATTGTGACAAAAATAACGTGTATCCGCCGGAAGTACTTCCTTCCCACTTGCCGTTTCAACTTTTCTATGCGGTCTTCAGTCCCTCCATTATTTTGTAGTTAGCTTTTTTACTCTCGGTCTTACTCACTTGTTCAACTCTTTACCAGGATGATTTGCTATTTCGTTCTATACAATCCTCAAGAGCCGCGAATTTGCCGGCGCGGTCATTTATACGCGCTCATCCAGTTTGCACACGTATATGTACAGAGCCTATCAGAAGTAACAAATATTTTCTCTTTAATTCTTCTATGACGTTGACTAATCAATTTAATTGATGGCTTTATCGATATTCAATGTTCAAAAATATTTTTAAACATTGGAAAAAATTATAATTTATAAATATGCTCAGGTCTTCTTTCAATATTCACTATTTACATACTTAAAACATAATTTTATTTCTATTAGTTATTTATATTAATGTTAATTCAGAATTTATTATAGAATTTCGATAAACATCTTTTTTAGTTCTTTTTAGCTTTCTGTTATGTTTAGCTCAGAAGAAGCATACGACTTCTGAGACGTCCTGTACATATGCACACTGACAAACGATTGCATCTGCCATCCGCGTATCGAATTGAGTGTCAAATTAATTGATGGCGATCTCTGACGAACGCAGTGCAATTGTAAACCACCCTTGGCAGGAAGCCGTCTGCTCGCTGAGGCACAACTTAATATCTCGATCGCATCTGCTTGCAAGTAGATAAAAGATTACAAGATATCTCGAAGTGACTTAAAAAAAATCTATAAAAAAGGGAAAGCTAAAATTTTCTAGGTTTTTAAAGCTATAATACTTCTTTTTTTTATATGAAGTTGCTATATATGTGTGTTACACTTTTAACTCAGGAAGGCAAATAACGTATTACATTGTTAGTGAAGATTACAAAAGGATTTTTTTCATTGTTGATCGTAATTACTGATACCAATCGTCATTAGTTTGATATAGAATTTGTAAAATCGCGAATATATATAAATACAACCCACGTCAGAATCGCGCGGGACTTATTAGCGAAACAGTTTCGCTGATATGCCTGCTTTCTAAATAATTCTATGCTATTGCGTGGCTCGTAGCACCCGCACAATATTATCAGATCGCGGAAACATCCGCCGCGCGGAGAAACGCGCGCACTCGTAGGAATTAGAATTTTAATGAAGACGCCAATCGTCCTCGAGATTGCATTCTTCCTGGGTCTCTCTTGCTAAAGTGCAATGGTAATTTAATACTGATCGCATGGATTAATGTTACTTATCATTAATATTCTAGCAAAATGAGGGACAATGTCGCGTCTACTGGCAAAAGTCACCGGCGGGCAGAATTATTCATACGTACGTATTTTGTCATTATTAAAAATGTAACAAAGTCGGTTTCGATTTCGTTAGAGGCGATGGAAAAGCTCACATTGCTAGCTCTTTAATCAGTTTTCAAGACAACGATATGTCACGCCTCTGTCGTGGCAGAGAAGACGGTCCTAGACGTTCAAACGATTTTCACGGGACACAGAAAAAAGAGAAATGAAAGGAGAGAGAGAGAGAGAGAGAGAGAGAGAGAGAGAAAGCGGAATGGAGAGAAGGGGGAGACAGATAGCAAAACGGAGAAGTCACTGTCTGGTAGGCGTGCGTTTACGCCTACTAATTACGATTCTAGATGTTGTTATGCCCCTTCCGCCATGAAAGCGCTCTCGCCTCGTCGGTGTCGTCTCGAAAGACGCTGGTAAGACACGACAAAGAAAAATCTGCGCGGCGTATAGCCAATCGAAGATGGTAGCGTGAATACACAGAGGGTGGAAGAACCGTGCGGATCTTCCACGGAGAAAGGGTGGAGAACGGGCCATCAAGGCGAATCCGCGTCGCTCGCTCGCGCGAAGAAACGGCGGGACCGACTCGCGGCCTCACCTTCGCTCGGTCCCCGCTGCCGCGCCGCGCCGCGCCTGGTCCGCCGGCGGATACTGACCGTCTGCCGCCGCAAGGTAATTACGAACGCCGGACCGGAGCCGGTCCCTCTCGGAGAGAAGGTGAGTGACAAAAAGCCGCGTCTTAATGCAAACGCGCGGCGGCCGGAGCCGTAACTCGTTAATTATAGGCCGCCTCTGATTGATCCGCGGCCACTTCGCCTCGGTATCCGCGCGGCGGATAGCCCAGCGGAGAGCCTCCCCGGTATATACCAACACCCTGTCGATATCCGGCGCGGCACGCGCGGCCAAAGGGCCCGGGCGCTTGGGACCCGGGCGCTGGGGAAAAAAAATTAATTGAAAAATACCGACGGCGAGGCGGCGCGAGGGCGCCTCACGGGACCGAGGAAAAGAAGCGAAATGGGCACCGGCCGCGCGCGAATGGTGACGCCTTTGGGGCCCAAAGCTGCGTTTAGAGTGTTGGCCTCCTTTTTCGCACTCCCTTGCGTGCGAAGTAACGAATGCAATCGCGCGTTGCCGTTCGGGGCATCCGGCTAATGCCGCATTTTTACGTGGTTGCCTCGGACGAAGGTCCGGGGAGAACAAAGAGGTGCAAGAGCGCTCGGCATACTTTTTACCAGAGCGCCGGAGATTCGCAAATTAAAAAAAAAAAATTAGTCCGAGATCCATTATCTCATCATGTAAATTGCAAAATTGTATTAAGCTGTGTATATAAGAGATTTGCGCGAGAATAAAATTCCTACGTTGCCGTTAACCGAAGAGCGGTGTATAACATCGTAATCGAATTGATTCCGAAATCGAGAGAACCCAATTCGCTCGTTTGACAAGGGCGTAACTCGATCCACCGGCAATTTGTCTCGACGCACGTTCACGCGAATCCGATTCCGGCGACGGCCCCGGGTTCTCTAGGGGGGGAGGAAAACACGGTGCACACGGTCGCCCGCCATCTTCGTGGCGTCGAGCTGTTGCCTTTTTGCACCGTCGCTGTAATTTAATTTGCGTCGCGGTAAGAGCCGAAAGAGCCACGGCACCGGCGCTATCGACACGTCAAACGTAAACACATGCAGATTAGATATTTTCCTACGATATGACGCCAGGCAAAGGATTCACCATCACGCGCGCGAAGTCGAACCGTGGCGGCGATGGTTACATAGCGGTATCGTGCGCGCGCGCACACACACATACGAGGAAAGAGAGAGAGAGAGAGAGAGAGCACAGGTCTATCAGCCACCTACCTACCCCTAAACCCCGTACTCCGCATGCTTCGCCTATCTACATGACGATATCGCCGAGTGCTATGGCCGAATGTAAGCGGATATTGGCTATACATATTTATAGGAGCGCGCTGCTACCGGCTCTTGTGACCGCGTTCGTTCAGTTCGTTCGTTTCCAGCACCGCCCTTTGCCATCAACATTTTGTTCCACTTCCACACACACACACGCATACACAAACACACATATATGTATACACACATACATATTCTGTCTCTTTCTCCATTGCCCTCTCGCTTCTTCCCTTTCTCTCTGTTGAACTCAACCGCCATTTCTCGTATATATCTCTCGGTTTCTGCGTCTCCGTTTCGCCCCTTTTTCGTCGACTCTTCGCCGTTACGTTCAGCTCGCATTGTCGTCTTCGTCGCTCTCTCTCGTCGGTGTCGTCGCCAAAGTGCGGTGGAGCGGTGGTGAAAGGGCAAA